TAATGCGCTATACAAAAATAAATTTGTTTGTTTGTTGTTTGTTATGGGGGTGGTGCAGTGGTTAGCACTGTTGCCTCACACCTCTGATACCTGGGTTCGAGTCTTTGCCTGGGTTCCATGTGTGTGGAGTTTGCATGTTCTCCCCATGTCGTTGTGGGGTTTCCTCCGGTTTCCCCCCTAAATCCAAGACATGCTGAGGCTAATTGGAGTTACTAAATTGCCCATAGGGGTGCATGTGAGAGTGGATGGTGTGTGAGTGTGCCCTGTGATGGGCTGGCCCCCTGTCCTGGGTTGTGCCCATAGGCACCAGACCCCCTGTGACCCAGAAGGATAAACGGTTTGGAAAATGGATGGTATACTGTTATACATTAAACAGTGCTCCTGTAATTTTACAGTAGAACTTATACTGTGGCGTTGGTGAGCCAAGCGCCATCTGGAATATGGAATAACAAACTATCGTATTCTACACAGTCCAGTTTACCATGTTGTCTTCTCAAAGACCATTAAAAGCTTGTCGTCCATTGAACCGGTCAAGTTTTTGATTAGATCACGTCCTATATTAGCTGAGGCTGATATGCCTATCAATAATGAGACTGATTGACAGCTTCATCATTGATAATTGCAGCCTGCATCCTTATTCCTCCACTACCTTGATGACACTTGAAGAAGGTGTCCATCAACGGGACCATCTGCTGGGTTCATCAAGAGTCACTCTTGTAATATCAGTCTTGAGACGTATCCATGCCTATTCTTGGTGTTTTACCTTGTGTGCCTTATTGAGTGGAGGTCATGTTTCAGCCTTTGTGACCTTAGCAATATCATGTTGCACACTGCACATAGTATTTCCAGAGACTTTGTTCAGATTGCATTTTGAAAAATGGTGGCATTTGATGCTAAAGATTTTCTGGAATTCTCCCCTTTTAATTTGACACCAGTCTTTGGCAGTTAATTTGTGTCGTTTTCTATCTACAAGCTTCTTCCATCTTCTTTGGCTGCTGACTACAAAGCATTTGATTGTACGGTGATATTTCAATTGTTTTACATACCTCTGACTGGCACTTTTCTATTTTGTTTTTTTTTTCCTTCTCTGTGTAAGATCCTTTTTGGCCAATTTTAATAATAATAATTTTCTCAATAATTCTACACAATAATTCTAATTCTTTGTGTTTGTTTTACTCCAATCAGAATGTACTCAGACCAAATACTAAGCATGCTCTATTTTTACTCAGTCCATTCTGAATTGAAGATTAATCTGTACTGAGAATATTGGTCAGAAGAGAAGATAGCAGCAAAAATACAGACTTGCCTACTAATTCTAAATGTACAGTACTAGTCAAAATCTGGGCCATGGACAATCACAGTCATTTAATTCAACCCAAGGAGTATTTCCCAATCTAATTGTTGGTTATAGCTACACATTTAAGTAATGACAGCCCGTGCAATATTTGAAAAATAGCTCATTTAAAAAATGAAAAGTACAAATAATTTTTGCTAATATTTATCGCTTCATTAATCGAACTGGGGAATCCCCTTAGGGATTTTTTCCTACCCCATCTTGCTCTCCAAGACACACAGATGTAGCTGACAGCAAGCTTGGCACTGAAGGGCAGCCACCTGCACCGGCACCTAATGGAGCAGGAGGTCAAGGGCCTTGCTGAAGGGCCCACAGACATGTGACTATTCTGCCAAGGCAAAGCTTGAACTGGTAACCTTCCCATCACAGGTACAGAGCCTTAGCCTGCTGAGCCACACACTGCCCCACTACTGTACTTTAGATTTTTCTGGACTTTGAGTATTATTAAGTTACTGAAACTTCTATTTTCACTTCGTCACATTTCTGAGCCAAATACATTCTGCTCCGACTCCGACATTCTGCATGACCATTGTTACCCAGTAAAAAAAAAAATTATACCATTGCATGCAGTGCATCAGAGTAGGGTTCCACAGTCCTGGTCCTGGGTAAAATATGAATCTTTTTTTTCCCCACGCAGCTTCTTTGAAGGTTCTATTATTATTATTATTTTATTTTATTTTTTTAATTGCATACTGTCTTTATGAAGATGGAACAAACAAAATGTAGAGGTGCACGATATATTATTTAACATACCAAAAACAAACCACTATTTAAATTGTATCAATATTCAAAGTTAGCAGCACTAGAGGTACTACTGAAAAAATGGTGATGATTGCATTGGACAATCAGGCATTTTCCATAGTGGAGGAAGAGTGTTTTCGTTGGCTCATTCACATAAGAGGTTTCAAAGTTCCAGCTCATTAAATGTTTATAATTCATTATTAAATTTGGCCCGTAGATCAATCTTTTGTTTGTCGCAAAATAACTTTTTTTGTCTCGCTAATCTGCACTGAGAGGATTGGCAAGTTTCACTGCCTTTTCTGAATAGAAAGAAAATATCTACTTTTCCTCTTGCAACTCAGTTTTCCTTATTGTGATGCATTGTAACTTGAAACACTGTATTCAAATCTGTATTGAGTGAATGTTAAAGGATAGCTTGCATGATAAATAGATTGGAATGTATAGTACTTTTTACTTTTGATACTTAAGTGCTTTTAGAACCAGGCATTTTTTACCTTAATTTATTTTACTGGATGACTTTTACTCAAATGACATTTTGGGGTGGTATCTGTACTTTTACTTAAGTATGAAAATTGACTATTTTTCCCACCACTGACTGAGACTACTTGTGCAGTACGCAAATGTAGTTTGTTCTAATTTGTCTAAGAATGAGAAGCCCTAAGCAAAGACAATTTCCCTCATTCAGTTACACTAGAAATGAAATGTATTTTGTACCCCAGTTCAGCAGGAGCTTACCTGATTGTACATATAGCGTAGCATGAAGTCCAAAAGGAAGGACTTTCCCTTCCTGAAGGCTCCAGCCACAGAAATAGCCACCACCTCTCGTTCCCTTGTTTCCTCAGATAGTAGGATACGGCTTAATGCTGCTTCATCCAGCTCAAAGGAGTGGTCATCTTTAACAATCAGCACCTGGACTGGCTGGGCCCTGCCATCACATTCTTCTTCCTCTGAACTCCAATCATACACACTCTTGTCAAAGGCCCCAGCTGCAGGAATGAAGGTTTATTTTAAAGGTTACAAGCCTAAAGTTGGGGATATGTACTGTATACAATCATGATTATAAAACTTCTAAAATGCACATAAAAACAGCTACTAGACTGACATATTGAACAAGGCTTATCTTTGCTAGCAAAATGTTTTAAAAGAAACCTACAAAAATCATTTTCCCCAACCATAAAGAATAACAGTCATAGGGAAGATCTACAATGTAATACCTTTGAATTTGAATTAAATAGTTATAGAAGGAAGTCATACAAAATGCATTAAACAAATGATATAATAATTGCATAAATCTTTCTTTAATCTTTCTCAAATACACTTAATTCTTAAATAGTCTGGTGCCCAATAAACTAGGGGTTCCCAACCTCCCATATCGGTCCACAGCCAAACATTCCATCAGGCTGCAGAATGCTCAGGGTTTTGCTGGATCTGTCAGTAACACATAAACCTACAGCTTGGAGTGTGTTAGTCCACTTATACCATGGTTATAGAGCTGTCATGATTACTTGATTAAACTTGAATACTAAATTATTAAAAAGTATTGATTAAAAATGTTTCGTTCTTGATTACTTGGCAAAATGGTGGCAGGAAGACAGTGTGGGGTCCAAGTAAAGGCCCAAACCCAAGTCCCCTTAAGGCTTGAGCCATGAACCCTCACAGACTTAACTGATGTCACCTAGTAACTGTGATTGAGTGCAAAAGGCCTCAAAATGGTATAAACAGGAATAGGACAGCAAGTTGCAACATATCACGTTACCTTGACTACGCCAAAACATGTTGCTTACTATTGTTGGTTTGGGACTTATTATTTTAAGATTTGCACTTTATTCAAGGCCAAGGCACTTAAGGGACTGACAGCCTAATTTGAACGTTTTCCAGGCTATTGCCTTACAGGGTGGATGAGACGTAATTGTCAAATAATCAAGTTACTTTTTTTGACAAAGGAGCATCATTAAGCAATAACTAGGGCTGGACAATAATTCGATATCAATATATATCGCGATATA